CCTTGGGTCTGGCCTTCTGTTCCCTCCGTCGGTACCTTGTGTCTGGCCTCCTGTTCCCTCCGTCGGTACCTTGTGTCTGGCCTCCTGTTCCCTCCGTCGGTACCTTGTGTCTGGCCGCCTGTTCCCTCCGTCGGTACCTTGTGTCTGGCCGCCTGTTCCCTCCGTCGGTACCTTGTGTCTGGCCTCCTGTTCCCTCCGTCGGTACCTTGTGTCTGGCCTCCTGTTCCCTCCGTCGGTACCTTGTGTCTGGCCTACTGTTCCCTCCGTCGGTACCTTGTGTCTGGCCTCCTGTTCCCTCCGTCGGTACCTTGTGTCTGGCCTCCTGTTCCCTCCGTCGGTACCTTGTGTCTGGCCTCCTGTTCCCTCCGTCGGTACCTTGTGTCTGGCCTCCTGTTCCCTCCGGCGGTACCTTGTGTCTGGCCTCCTGTTCCCTCCGGCGGTACCTTGTGTCTGGCCGCCTGTTCCCTCCGTCGGTACCTTGTGTCTGGCCTCCTGTTCCCTCCGTCGGTACCTTGTGTCTGGCCTCCTGTTCCCTCCGTCGGTACCTTGTGTCTGGCCTCCTGTTCCCTCCGTCGGTACCTTGTGTCTGGCCTACTGTTCCCTCCGTCGGTACCTTGTGTCTGGCCTCCTGTTCCCTCCGGCGGTACCTTGTGTCTGGCCTCCTGTTTCCATCATTCTTCTCATAATTTTTGCATCATCAGCCAACATTAAGGGAAATGAGTCTATTCCCTATGAGATCATTTACATATTTGGAGTACCTTCCCTTTTATTCATGTCTGCATCTCCAGCTTATGCACTAGTCTCCTACGAGGTACTGTGATAAAGGCATCCTGGCAATTCAAAAATATAGTGTTCCACCTTTTTCTTTCTTGCCTATTTGTCGCATGGTCTTTGAATTCTGTAACTCCTATGAAGCAGGATTTGCCATCCCTGAACCAATGCTGATGCTATGTTACAAAGTTCTCTCACTCAAGATGTTCTAGTAGTTTTTTTTCGTACAATCTTATCCATCGTCTTACATGGTATGCAAGTTAGGGACACCGGTCTGTAGTGGAGCGCCTCTTGTCTTTCTCTTTTCTTGTATATCGGGACTACATTACCCATCATCAATTTTTTTGGCAGTTTTCCTGTAACCAGTGACTTGTTATACACCACTGAGAGTGGTAGGCACAGGGTTTCTGTTCCTTCTTTTATCCATGGTGAGATTCCTTCTGGGCCTTTGTCACATTCAACTCACGCAAATGATTCCTTACCTCTCCAATGGTAATCTCAAACTGCTCCAGTAGTGCCTGATTAGATGTTCCCCTCTCTAATCTCAGGAAATTCTTGCTTTAATCATATAATGTGAAGACCTGAATTCCTTATTGAGTTTCTCGCATACTTAACACTAGTAATGATCCTGTCTGCCCCTATCATAAGTTTCATTACCTGTTCCTTCACTGTTATTTTCCTTCTGATGTGACGCTGCCGCAATTTGAGTTGAATAATTTTCGTACTGTTTTTCTGCCTCTCTTCTCACCCCTGAGGTACTCATGGTATCTTTCTCTACTCTCTGGTGTCCTATTTTTTTTAAAGTTTCTCCGTGCCCTTTTACTTAATTGCTCTACCAGACAACATTCCTGATTAACCCATGGGTTCCTCATTTATATTTGTTTTTTTTTTCCTTTTGAACTAGGGCAAACTTGTCTGGTGCTTCCTTATACTTCTGCGTGATGCAGTCCATCATGTCTTGGGTCGTATTTCCTCTGAACTCTGTTTTATATGTTATATCTATTGGAAATTGTCTTATGTTCTCGTAGTTTTCCTTTCGGTATGCCTCACGTATGCTTTCTGGTCCTTTTCTTGAGTTAACCTTACTTTTACGAGATTCTCAAACATCAACAAGGTTCTCATTCCCACGGGGGGCTTCGAAGTTTATTTCCCTTATGTCGGAATCAGTCAAAGTAAATAACAGGTTAAGTCTAGCTGATAAGGGAGTCTTGGGAGGAGATAACTGTTTTGTCGTTGCCTCTCATTCTTGTGGGTCTCCTAACATGTTGGCTTAAAATGTTTCTTGTTGCCACATCCAACAGTTTAGCTTTCCATGTTTGTCCACCTACATGTGTTTCTTTGTTTTCCCGGTCTATCTTTCCCTGACTGAATTCATCCATGATAAACAGAAGGGATGGATTTCTACAGGCGACAGAGACAGACCTCTTATTATAGTATTAACTGACATTGTTTCTGCCTGTCATTTAGTGAAGGGCTATAAATTACTGCTACTCCTACTCTTGGTCCTCCCATCATCATGGTTCCTGTTATGTAGTCTCTGAACCCCTCGCAGCCCGGGATAACCATCTCCTCGAAACTCCAGTCCTTTCTCATGAGTAGGGTCACTCCGCATTCTCCCCCGAAGTTCATATTTTGTGTTACTTCTCGGTTTCTTCTGAAGTGGCTGCTGAAGATGCTCGTGAAATAAGAACTCATCATGCTACTGTAATGGTTACTAAATGTGCTGCTGAAGGTGTTACTGAACGTGCTGATGACGTTGGTACTGATTTTGCTTCTAAAGTGGCTTATAAAGATGATACTGAAAGTGCTACTTTATTAGGTAATGAATGTGTTATTAAAGTGGCTACTGAAGTGGCGATTGAAATTATTAGAGAAGTGGCTATTAAGACCCTTCAGAAGGTGCTACCATTGTGACAACTGAAGATGCTGCTGAAGTGACTTCTAAAGTTGCTACTGAAGTTGGTGTTGAAATATCTAATGAATGTGCAACTGATGTAGCTACTGCAGGTGCGGATATTGAGACTTCTGAGGGGTGGATACTGAAATGGCTACTGAAGATGCTACTGAAGTGGCTACTGAAGATGCTACTGAAGTGGCTACTGAAGATGCTACTGAAGTGGCTACTGAAGATGCTACTGAAGTGGCTACTGAAGATGCTACTGAAGTGGCTACTGAAGATGCTACTGAAGTGGCTACTGAAGATGCTACTGAAGTGGTTACTGAAGATGCTACTGAAGTTGGTGTTAAAATATGAAAGTGTTACTGAAATGGCTACTTTAAGTGTTACTGAGATGACTACTGGGAGTGATACTGAGATGACTATTGAGAGTGTTACTGAGATGGTTACTGGAAGTGTTACTGAGATGGGTACATCAGGAACAGCTGAGTATACTGACCTTGTCTTGAGGAAGTGAAGTATTGGCTGCCGTCACGTTACTGAGGACCTGGAGGCCGTCGACCACCACGGCCGGAGCCTCGCTGATCACCACACACAAGTGAGTCCACTGCCACGGGCGAGGCTGGACGTCAACCTTCAGCCCTGACTTCCCCAAGAACAGGTTGTAATACTCGCCCAAGGCTGGCAATGAGAAGAAAGATGAACAGTGCACTCTCTGTGTTATCTCCTCGAGTATGTTATGAAAACTTTGATGTTATTTTTATTGTCAATAGAGTATTGCTAATTCTGCAGAATATAATGACGATATTAACAGGATTACAATTTAATTGTATTTGCAGTCTTCAAATACCGGAACAGAAAGTCACAGAATCAAAACGTTTAGGTTATCAAATTATTTTACTGCGTTTTTTATGCAAAAAAATATTATTTTGTCATTATTGTCAGTTTACATATTACACATAAATCCATCGTTTCCGCCTTCACCAAGACTCACGGGGAGCCTTACCTACCGTCATTAATCTTACCTGAGTCTAACAGTTACAGTTTGCATCATCTATATTTATAAAAATGGAAATGTTCGTTTATGCATAACTGCTAATCTCCGAAAGTTACACACATACTCGTCGACTGTTTTCATGGCCACTCCCGACGTCAGCTGTTCCTTCAGCATCGATAGGGGATTACGCACCTCGTGCCCATACACGAGTTGAAAAAGTGAGAATCCCAGAGACTCCACCACTGCCTCCCGTAGCGCAAATAACGCTGGATACACGTCATCATCCCATTCCGCTCCTTGTTCAGCGCAAAATACTCTTAACATGATCTTCAAGGTCGAGTGAAACCTTTCGATCGCCCCTTGTGACTGCGGTCTGTAGGGCGAAGACCGAATCTGGGTTATTCCCCAGTTTGCAATAGTTTGTCTGAACTATCTCGACTGGAACACGCTCCCACAATCACTCTGAATCTCTCTGGGTATCCCCACCCAAGAGAAAAAACGTTGGAGCTGCCCCATAATACTCTTTGATGTTAGCCGTCGCACCGGGACCGCTTCCGGAAACCTCGTTGACGCACACATAATCGTCAGCAAGTAGTTGTTCCCTCACTTCGTTCGGGGCAAGGGTCCCACACCGTTTATCAGTAGACGCTCAAATGCCTGTCCGAAAGCAGGGACAGGAACCAGAGGGGCCTTCGGCATTGCCTGCACGTTCTTTCCCGCCCTCTGACAAGGAAGACACGTTTTACAATGACATCTAACGTCGGCGTCCATTCTCGGCAAATAGAAGTGTTCCCTGATCCGGCTCAGCGTCTTGGTTACTCCTAGATGTCCTGCAGGGTCCACTGAGTGCGCCAACTCCAGCACTGCTCCTCTGCATCGAGTCGGTAACACTACCTGGTGCTTCACTCCCAGTGCCTCCATATCGGCCCTCCGTCCTCACTGGCCTCCACTGCTTCATCAGCATCCCCTCTTCTAAGTAGAAATGGGTAGCAGTCTCGGGTCCAGCGCGACCTCCCTCGACCTCTCGTATCAACTCGGGAAATTCTTCCCGCTGCAGCTCGCCCAGTCGAGTGCGATCCAACTCGAGAGGACTGGTGAGAGTTATCTGTACTCCGTCATCTGGGTTCCCACTATACTCCATCAGTCCTCCGGGTTCCTCGAAGAGTCGATCGATTCCTACGCTGTCAGGCACATCCTCTCCAGCCTGACCACATCCACTTGTTTCGCCTTTGACACTCTGTCTCGGGAACACCGCGCACACAGGGAATGCTCCCTAAGCGATCTTCCTCGCGTTTCCCCAGGTGTCGGATGCACTGCCTCCCTTTCTATAGTGTTCTAAACACTCCTCGTCCTTAACGAGGTTTGGGAGTACACATCCCCCACATGAGTCATTTCCCAGAATGACCTGGGCCTCCATCTTAGGCATCGAGGCGCAGACCCCACCACAAGGGTCTTGCAGCCGTAGTCAGAGTCCAAAATCACCTCGTGAAGGGGCATTCTCAATGGGCCACCCACAGTGGTCACCATGGCCTCCCCCACACTGGTGTCCTCATATCCCTCAGGGAAAAGGGTCTCACTCACCAGGGTAAAGTCTGCTCCAGTATCTCTCAACATCTTCACTGGAATGGGGTCGGCCTCTTTTATCTTCACAGCACCTTCACAAATAAAAGGATGGATCTTTTCCTCCCTTTCTAGTGGAGATCTGCTCAAAACATTCTTGGCTCCTTGGTCGTCCATTCTGACCAGTGCCACATTTCCGCGTTGCCTGGGGCGACCACACTCACGTGCGAAGTGTCCGCGCCCGCCACAATTAAAACACCTGACTCTCCTGGGAGGCGACTCTCCCCCTGTCACTCGGGCAACGCCCCCGGAAACCGCCGTCCCCTGGGTCCTCCTCGCGCCCCCGGTCGTTGTCTCCCTGGCAGCGTTCCTCGCTCCAGCCCCAGTCCCGGTGTTCCCCCCCCCTTGGGGTTTCTTCACCGGTTCCCCTGAACTCTTGGACCGACTCACCTCACTGCGTGCACTATTCTTGGGAGAGTCTCCACCCGTCCTCGCCCCTCCTGAACTCTTGACGTTCCCCCCAAACCTTGGGTGAGGCGAGTGCCTAGGCGGTCCCTCCTTCCCGAGATGTAGTGCCTCTTCCAGTAGGTCGGCTCTGTCTGCAGCAGCCTTAAGTTCTCTAATACCAGCCTCCTTGATCCTGACCCTTAGTTCTGGATGGAGCATTGACATGAATCTTTCCATCACCATCAATTGTTTCAGCTCCTCCATCGTCTCCACCTCTTCAGCCTTCAGCCATCGCAGGAACCTGCGCTCCATGTCCCGAGCAGTTTCAGCATACGACCTTCCGGAAGCTCTTGTGCACTCCCGGAAGCATTTCCTGTAAACCTTCGGGGTTAGTCGATACGATTGGAGCACAGCTTTCTTGATCATGTCGTAAACGGCACATTCCTCAAGGTCCAACATGTTATAGGCTTCCCTGGCCTCGCCAGTCAACCTACTCTGCACTAACGCAGCCCAATCCTCTTCCGGCCATTCCTTCAATGTCGCTATCCTCTCAAAATGGTCGAAGAAAGCTTCGGCCTCTAGAGGGTCAAATGTTGGCAGGTCGCGTTCCCGGACCTTGGGGTCATCCCGCCGAGCCGACACTAAAAGCAGCCCGCGCTCCGCCCGACGCATCTCAACCTCCTTCTTCGCTTTTATTCCTTCCCGTCGCAGTTGCCTTTCTCCTTCTTCTCGTTGTAGTTGGGCTTCGCGCTCCTCACGCTTCAGCTGAGCCTCGCGCTCATGCTCCTCTTGTTTCAGCTGGGCTTCGCGCTCCTCACGCTTCAACTGAGCTTCGCGTTCCTCACGCTTCAGCTGAGCTTCGCGCTCCTCCCGCTTCAGCTGAGCTTCAAGCTGCATTTTCATCATCTCTAGCTTCATGCTCCTCTTGCTACTACCGCTGGATCCCCTACTGCTACCTTCGTCGCTCCGGTTCCCACCAACACTGGCAGGTACCTGGGGCGGTCCTTCCTCGGAAACCTCCTCTCGGGCCTTGAGCTGAGCCATGATCTCAATCCGACGCTCCGCCACCCTGGAGGACCTCAATTTCAACCCAAAATGATCCACCACTAGCTTTAGCTGAACCTTGGTGCACTCTTCCAACTCCTTGTCGCCCCCAGACTCAATAAACTTCTTTACTTTGTCATCCCCCATCTCTAAGCTATTGAGTAACTGTATACAGGGAATACACTAGCGAGCAGTGTAAACCGAGACCGATATCGATCTTAATACACCTGCCCTGCACTTGCAATCCTCTATCCACTGTTGTTCGATGGATCCTGGCAAGGTCGCCACTGTCAGGATTCACCCCCTTCCACCCTGTGGTTGGGGTCGTCCCACAGGTCTTAGCCCCTCAGTACCGGGCGCCACTGCTCGCCCTTGGGCTCCCCCAGTCAACTAAGGGCTGGCCTTATACACCCCTAGCGAGTGGGGAGGTTCAAGCTTCTTATAACTCACTCAAACCTGTCTGTCCTGACACTGGAACACTTTCTTCGTCTTTATCTAGTCTACTCAGGTCGCCAGCTGGGTCTTTATTCTCGTGTCCCAGCAACACGCCAGTGGTCTTAATGGTTATCTTGATCAAGGATGCAATATCATGTGCAGTACAAGGTGTCACTAATGGTCTCATAAATATACACAAATATAGCCCTAGAGAATGGAGGCTCACTTAAACTCCTCAGTTAGTTTAAAAGTTTACTGAAGAAAAACATATATACATTTATATATGGCATAAGGAAATGTGGGAATCATCCGCTGGCGGCAGCATTTATCGATGACACGTCTCTGGCAACAGGGTCAGCTGACTGGATCCACTTCCCCGGCGCGGGCACACGCCTCGCGCCTCTGGCAGCACGATCAGCGGATATCTCTAGCTGTCAGAACGTCGTAGTTTCCCACGCCTCCAGCGATGCGATCAGCTATGTGTTTCAGAGTACGTTGCTGGCTCCTTGCACACCAACTACCCTTCCAGGATCACTAACATCACCACGTTAATGCTCGTCCTCATCAACTCATGCCTAAATGAGTTTCTGGCTCCTAGCCTAACACCCTGTCACTTAGACTATAAAATGATGAGTGGAAATATTCAAAACATATAAAATACTCTAACTCGCCTAGCTCAAAAAGGGGTAAGGGAGGGACAATTGTCTACCTTATTTCGCTCCAACCACGAAGCTGACTCGTCCTCTATTGAGGGATGTTGAGGTTCCTGGTTCTGGCTTCTGGTCTCCTTATGAACAGTTCCCACACACACACAGGTTCCTCCGTCACCTTCGTGGTAACGCGTCCTCGCCGTGCTCATATCCAACAGGTACTGCCTTCCTCCTCATATTCTCTGGGGTACTGGAGATAGGTACCTCCGTCGTCGTCCTCACTCTCACTGGCACTGTCGACTCTTCACAGTCCAGTGCAGCGTCCCCTCGCCTTAACTGCCAGTAGATTTGGGCCCGGCCCTAGTTTCTCGCTTGATGTGTAAGACGTGGTCCTCTAGTGGGCGTCCCAGACGTCACCAGCCCAACGTTCCCTCTGCTGCAGACTCTTGATACGGCTTTTGGCTCTTCAATCCGGTCCGTTCTTGCCTCCGGGCACTCCACGGAAGTTGGATGGCTTCCCAGACTGTCTGCAGAATCGAAGCGGAGCTTCAATCTACTGGTAAGGGCTCTCTAGATCCGGAGCTCGCTCGAGCGCGTCTTCCTTCTCTGACGGTTCGTGACGTACTGTCTTCCTGCCCCAGGCGCCAGCTGCCCCCGTGCCCCTCGCCTAATGACGTCACACCACCCGAGGGTTTTTTCGTCATTGGTCACTTCCGGCATGTGACCTCACCTGGGCAATCAGGTACCGGGAAGAGTCAGGTCGTCTTGGCGGGAAACAGGATGGCTCGTCACCGTCCTGTGCTTCAAAAGGCGTAAGCCCCTTACATTATCAAACCTAGCTGGCCACTTTACAGCAAGCTTAACCCTTCAATTGCGCATTGCATCATATGATGCTTTGACCGACTTGCAGTAAATTGCGCATCGCATCATATGATGCTTTGGAGTACTACGCAAGATTTAAACGGCCCGCGGATACACGGGGTTCACCACACCTTCATCAGGGCTCTTGTAAACAGACGCCATTTTTTAAAAAAATCGTGGGCCAAACTCCAGGGTGTTAGGGGCCTCAGTATTGAGTGTCTACCAAGCCTGACGCACGCAGCATGAGCTCACAGCACTGCTGTTCATCTTGTGACCACAGCATCGCCTAAAAATGCCATAATATACTTGTTCATGCTATTATGTAGCGATGATATTATTACAGAAGACCCCTGACTGTGATAAAACAGACCAGGGTTCTGATAATAGCAGGATTGTGGTGATATTTGGCGCTGTGCGCCATGGAGGGAGGAGTAATGCTGTGGGAGGGAGGATGGTGGAGTTGTCTTTTGAGTGTGTGTGGCCACCTTTTATTGACTGCACTCACCATACCAGCTTAGTGGTTCGCTATGGTGAACACAAATGTAGATACTTATATATAACGTGTGTATAGTGTGAGATAACAGCGAGAGTAGGAGGTTGGGAGCCGCCTTTTTGGTGAGGGAGGAGCGTCGTCTGCAGGACTTATCATGTTGTTTACTGATGACCACGATGGTTTTTGGGCACCATACTAGTTTACTTGTACAAGTATGGTGAATAAAACAGGTAGATATTTATATATAATGTGTGTATATAGCGTAATAACACCACAAACAGTATTGTTGTAGGAGAAATATTAGTGCGTCTGGCCTTGAGGGCGGCCGCCACCAGCTGACTGTGTGAGTATCTATGTCTCTCTGCCTTTACTCACCATACAAGCTTAGATGTACAGTTATGGTGAACAAAACATGTAAATACTTATATATAACGTCTGTATATAAAAGCAAAAACAGTATGGTGGGTGGAGAATGGTGGCAAGTCAGGTGAGGTGAGGTGAGGGAGGGAGTGGCAGCCAGTGGCAGCCATATATATATATACAGTGTATGTATATATATATATATATATATATATATATATATATATATATATATATATATATATATATATATATATATATATATATATATATATATATATATATATATATATATATTGTGACGATAATCTCCTTCAAGAGAGATTGAGCTGTGACGATAATCTCCTTCAAGAGAGATTGAGCCTGCTCTTCCCTCCTAAGTACGTCCCTAACAACAATAACAACTAATATAGAAGATATATCCAACAAGTACAACACCAAGGTTTGCCCAGAGAGCAAACGTATTCAGCACCAGGAACACCTGCTCCACCTCTGCCACTCAAACCAGCAAACTACTTGTCCGTCGCCTGCTCATCGCTGATTGGCTGGTGCCGTCGCACCTGCTCCCTCCACCCGCCACACTAGCTGATGTCTGGGCCACCACGACCTACAGTCATCAGAATATCCCGTGCTTTCCACAAGTTAACACGTCTCATTGGTAGACTAAGCCCTGGCTTACGTGTACTAAGAGAGGTGGCAGCTTAAAGCCAATATTCCTGCACTCATATATCTCCTTGTATATTATTCACTTGTCTTAACGTAACTTTTCATTTTGCCAGTGATTATTCTTATTATTTTGTTTGATTGATTTATGTTACAATTTTTATGTCCATTTTATTCATGTTTTGCTTTTCTAACGTAATTAAAATTTCATTGTTAAATTTACTTGTGTTTTGTGTGTCTTCCCATTACCTTACCACAGACGAAAGTTCCATATTTTCTCTTTTTGTTTCTTTATGTGACGAGGCCATACCCCTAGCTTTTGAAACAGCCGAACACCAACGCGTTACCGTCACATATTAAGTGGGGGGCCTGCCCTAGGAGCTTCACTCAGGTACTGGTGCCAAGTAGTAATTAATGGTAAGCGTATTTGACTTTGGTAACGTAGTTTTTACTACTTTTCATATTCAATTTCATTTTATATGGTGCGGTGTGTATTGTGCATTACGAGAGTAGCATATGGTGAAGGTGAGACAACTTTGGATTACGTGGTGACTGTAGGCCTCAGTCATACTCTTAATTGGTCATCTCTTCCTCCGTGTTATTACTCGTGTTTACCATCTTTTGTCCCTTGGATATTTCTCATATTTTTGACAGATCATCATGTTGTTACCCTGGTACTGTGGTCTGCCCCCGGGTTAAGTGCACCTAATCTTCTGCAATCTGACTGTAGGAGAATAAAGAGGGCCATAGTTCCTCTAGCACGAACTTTAGTTGCTGAATTGGGACCTCAGCAGCAGTTCTCGTCACCAGTTGACACCTCGCACCCCTACACGTCAGTCAGAGATGATGATACATACAATGGTAGGGAATTAGCTTTCTTTTTCAGAGCACAAAAGTTCGCTAATTCTGTAAGTATCATATTAATTTCAGTGGGAAAGACTTGCTTATGTCCTATAGAGACTCGGCAAGGTATGCCTACATCCTTGGACTACCAATTTTACTTTTGAGGCAATTAACTGTTTCATTTGTTTTCGAAACTCTGTTTCATTTGTTTAGTAGGATTTTCTTGCCCTTATCCTCTTACATGAGTACCGGGTACAAGATTTCCTGCGCCCTTGATTTAAATTAATCATTTAACATCTTATATTTAACTTTAATTGTTAAAGATTCCACAGGATAGGTACCAGTTGCCACGTTGTCCTGTTTCTGACATTCACTATATCACAACGGTATATTCGCTGTACATTTATTTGCTAATTTCACCATGTTTCGTCTCCAAGCTTTCCGTGCAGATCCAGCAGGTGAAATAGGGACTCTAAGTCGTGCCAAGAGGACTGAATTACAAACTCTTGCACATGAGTATTAACTAGAAGTTCCCTACCAAGCCAACAAGAGTGAAATACACAACCTGTTACTGGATCATTTCTTAGAGCAAGGTAAGATAGACTCTGAAACTCATGAAACTTACTATATTGCAGATAAAACTGACTTGGCAACGATGAAACTCAAACTAGAGCTGGCCAAGATTGAACGTGAGCAGCAAAGAGAAGCAGCTGCCATACGAAGTGAAGAACAAGAACGTGAGGCTGCCTTAAGAAGGGAAGAACAAGAACGTGAGGCTGCCTTAAGAAGGGAAGAAAAAGAACGTGAGGCTGCCTTGAGGAAGGAAGAACAAGAACGAGAAA